CAAGGAAGGTAGAATGGTTCCTTCATGGCACACTAGAAATCACAATGCCATGATTGCACTGTAACTCCAATCCTCAGTGGAAGACTTAAGGAGGCTGGTGCCATGTCTTTAAAGAGATGTGATACTGCCCTCTGCATCTAACAAGGTTAACACTTAATCTCACACACACACACACACACACACACACACACACACACACACACACCAGAAAAAGACACAAGATGTAAAAAGAAAACAATAGATCAGCTTAGAGACATGGAAGCTAATTTAAACAATCAACATATTGGAAAGAAGTTTCACTACAATGCCTGAAAGAACGCTAATAGAAGTAGAAGGGACGTTCACAGAAATGAAGACCAACATACATAGATTAGACATGGGTTCCAAACGTCAAAAGGCATGAATGGAGATAGAGCCCTCCCATAAGCCCTGGTGTCATTATGACATATTAATACAATAAAACTAGACTAAAAATATCTTAGACACTCTGAGGCTAACAGAGACAGACAATCGCTTAATTAAAGTTGTCTTCCACCAGGAGGGGAGAGCAGTCACGGCTCTCGCAGTTTATAGCCAGAGACACTGTTATGAACGAATGAGAGAAAAATAAAAAGCATTTTCAAACTTGTGGATATTTTGGAATTTGTTTATGCCTAGCAGTTAGCAGTTCCCACAAGAACCATAAAGGAATGGACCTCTGAAAGAAGAAAAGAACAGCCCAGTGATGCTGGTGCAAGCCTTTAATCCCAGCATGAGGGGGCAGAGAAAGGTGGATCTCTGAGTTCAAGGCCAGCCTGGACTACAGAGTGAGTTCAAAGACAACCAAGTCTGCTCAGAGAAACCCTGTCTCAAAAAAAAAAAAATAGAGAGAGATAGTGGAATGAAATTTAAGAAATTACTGACCACATATTTTTCTTTTTTTAAAACAATCTTTTTTTTATTTTACATACCAACCCCAGTTTTCTTTTCTTCTCCTCCTCCTGGTTCCTCCACCTTCCCCCAGCCCACCCCCTATCTATTCCTTGAAGAGGGTGAGGCCTCCCACAGGGAGTCAACAAAGTCTGTCCCATCACTTGAGGCAGGACCAAGGCCCTCCTCCCTTGTGTCTAGGCTGAGCAAGGTATCCCGCCACAGGGTATGGGGCCCAAAAAGCCAATTCATGCGCTAGGGATAAATACTGGCTCCATAGCCATTGGCCCCCAAAATTGTCCAAGCCACACAATTGCCACCCACATTCAGAGGGCCTAGTTAGGCCCTATGCAGGTCACCCTGCTATTAGTCCAGAGTCAGTGAGCTCCCACTAGCTCAGGTTTCTGTGGGTTTCCCCATCATGGTATTGACCCCTTTGTTATCCTTCCTCCCTCTCTACAACTGGACTTCAGAAGCTTGGCCCAGTGCTTGGCTGTGGATCACTGCATCTGCTTCTGTAAGTTACTGGATGAAGGTTCTATGATGACAACTGAGATAATCATCAATCTGATTACAGGGGAAGGGCAGTCAAGGAACCCTCTCCACTATTGCTTATCTGGGGTCATTCTTGTCATTTTGGTGGATTTCTGGGAATTTCCCTAATGTCAGGTTTCTCACTAACCCCATAATGCTTCCCACTATCATGATATCTCTTTCCTTGCTTTCCCTCGACCTTCCCGATCCCTCATGTTCTCCTCTCCCCTTCCTTTCTCCCTCTCCACTCCCTTTCCACCCTCTAGCCTCCCCGACACACACACACACACACACACACACACACACACACACACACACACACTCACAATTTACTCAGGAGACCTTGTCCATTTCCCCTTCCCATGTATGTTCTCTCTGGATCCTCCTTGTTTCCTGACTTCTCTGGAATTATGAACTATATTCTGGTTATCCTTTGCTTTAGGTCTAATATCTACTTATGAGTGAATATACACTGTTTATCTTTCTGAGTCTGAGTTACCTCATTCAGGATGGTTTTTTCTAGTTCCATCCATTTGCCTGCAAATTTAAAGATGTCATTTTTTTTTTTTACCACTGAGTAGTACTACATTGTGTAAATGTACCACATTTTCTTTATTCATTCTTTGGTTGAGGGTCATCTAGGTTGTTTCTGGGTTCTGGCTAATATGAATAATGCTGGTATGAACATAGTTGAGCAAATGCCCTTGTGGTATTTTGTGTGTCTCCTTTGGGTTTATGTCCAAGAGTCATACTGCTAGGTTTTGAGGTAGGTTGATTCCCAACTTTCTGAAAAACTGCCATACTGATTTTGAAAGTGGTTGTACAAGTTTGTGCTCCCACCAGCAATGGAGGAGTGTTCCCTTGACTAAGCATCCTCTCCAGCATAAGTTATCCTTAATGTTTTTGATCTTAGCCATTCTGACAAGTGAAAGATGGTATCTCAGAGTTGTTTGGATTGGCATTTTCCTGATGGCTATGGATGTTGAGCAATTCCTTCAGTGCCTTTAGGCCATTTAAGATTCCTCTGTTGAGAATTCACTGTTTAGATCTGTACCCCCATTTTTTAAGTGGATTACTTGGTTTTTTTGATGTCTAGTTTCTTGAGTTCTTTGCATATTTTGGAGATCAGCCTTCTGTCAGATGTGGGGTTGGTGAAGACTTTTTCCCATTCTGTAGGCTGCTGTTTTGTCTTTTTGACTGTGTCCTTTTGCCTTACAGAAGCTTTTCAGTTTCAGGAGATCTTATTTATTAATTGTCGATTTCAGTGTCTGTGCTGGTATTATATTCAGGAAGTGGCCTCCTGTTCCAATGCATTCAAGGTACTTCCCACTTTCTCTTCTATGAGATTCAGTATGGCTAGATTTATGTGGAGGTTGTTGATCCATTTTTACTTGAGTTTTGTCTATAGGGTTAGATATGGATCTATGTGCATTCTTCTACATGTTGATATCCAGTTATGCCAGCAGCATTTGTTGAAGAGAAATCCTGTCTCAAAATAAAAAATAAAAGACAATGGAATAAAACTTAATAAATGATACTGATCACATATTTTTCCCTAATGCTCGTTTTAGTTTTTCTACTTATTTTGTTAATCGCTTCATGTTACTGCTCCTTTTAATTTATTATGGACATAATCTTTTGATTGTAAAATACTAATTTTTTATTTGAAATTGTTTTTTATTTTTATTTTTCCACTCAAAAATTTACACTTCCTCCCCTCCTCCCATTCCCCTCCTGCTCCCCCACTCACCATCTTCCCTCCCCCTCCCTCCTTAAGAGAGGGACTTCCTGCCCTGTGGGAAGTCCAAGGCCCTCCCCGCTACATCCAGGCCTAGGAAGCTGTGCATCCAAATAGACTAGGATCCCAAAAAGCCAGTACATGCAGTAGAAATAAGTCCCAGTGCCTTTATCAATGGCTTCTCAGTCAGCCCCCATTTTCAGCCACATTCAGAGAGTCCTCTTTGATCACATGCTCGTTCAGTCCCGGTCCAGCTGGATTTGGTGAGCTCCTATTAGAACAGGCACTCTGCCTCAGTGGGTAGACCAACCCCTCGCAGTCCTGACTTCCTTGCTTGTCTTCTCCCTCCTTCTGTTCTTCAACTGGACTTTGGGAACTGAGTTTGTTGCTCTGATGAGGGTCTCTGTCTCTATCTCCATCCCTCACCAGACAAAGATTCTATGGTGATATCGAGATAATCATCAGTGTGATAGTGGGGCAAGGACAGTTCAGGCACCCTCTCCTCTGCTGCCCAAGGATCTAGCTGGAGACATCCCTGTGGACTCCTGGGAACTCCTCTAGAGTCAAGTCTCTTGAAAACCCTCAAATGGTTCCCTTAATGTAGATATCTTCTTCCCTTCTCCTGTATCTGCCCTTCCTCCATCTCCACTGTCCCACTCCCCCAAGCTCTCTCCAGTCTTTCCTTTCTCCCTTCTCTTTCCCCTTCTCCCCTTCCCCCAACCCCATCCCCACCCCTAGCCCTACCCCCATGCTTCCAACTTTTGCCTGGCAATCTTGTTTGCTTCCAATTTCCAGGAGGATCTATACATGTTTTCCTTTGGGTTCACCTTGCTGTTTGGCTTCTCTAGGCTTGTGAACTATAGGCTTAATGTCCTTTGTTTATGGCTAGAGTCCACTAATGAGTGAGTACATACCATATTCATCTTTTTGGATCTGGATTATCTCACTCAGGATAGTGTTTTCTATTTCCATCCATTTGCATGCAAAATTCAAGATGTCATTATTTTTACCGCTGAGTAGTACTCTAATGCGTATATATTCCACACTTTCTTTGTCCATTCTTACATTGAGGGGCATCTAAGTTATTTCCAGGTTCTGACTATTACAAATAATGCTGCTATGAACATAGTTGAACAAATTCTTTTGTAGTATGATGGGGTATCTCTTGGGTATATTCCCAAGAGTGGTATTGCTGGATCCTGAGGTAGGTTGATTCCCAATTTCCTGAGAAACCACCTCACTGATTTCCAAAGTGGTTTCACAAGTTTGCATTTCCACCAGCAATGGATGAATGTTCCCGTTACTCTACATCCTCTCCAGCATAGGCTATCATTGGTGTTTTTGATTTTAGCCATTCTGACAAGTATAAGATGGTATCTCAAAGTTGTTTTGATTTGCATTTCCCTGATCACTAAGGAGGTTGAACATGCCCTTAAGTGTCTTTTGGCCATTTGAACTTCTTCTGTTGAGAATTCTCTGTTCAGTTCAGTACCCCATTTTTTAATTAGGTTAATTAGAATTTTAATGTCTAGTTTCTTGAGTTCTTTATATATTTTGGAGATCAGATCTTTGTTTGATGCAGGGTTGGTGAAGATCTTCTCCCATTCAGTAGCTTGCCTTTTTGTCTTAATGACAGCGTCTTTGGTTTTATATAAGCTTCTTAGTTTCAGGAGGTCCCATTTACTCAATGTTCCTTTTATTGTCTGTGCTACTGGGTTCTACGTAGGAAGTGGTCTCTTGTGCCCATGTGCTGCAGACTACTTCCCACTTTCTCTTCTTATGCCCAATGCAGCTTTCTTTATTAACTAATAGCCATAAAACATATTCATAGCATACAGAGGGGAATCCCACATCACTACCTGGTATAGGAATCCTCCTCTCTCTCTTCTCTTCAAGACAAATACCAATCCAAGGGCACAAGGTACATCTACCCATAAGTCTTGGGCATTTGAACGCTTGATTCCCAGTTGATGGCTGTTTGGGGAGAATTGGGAGGTGTGGAATTGTTGAAGGAACTAAGTCTCTCTGGGAGGCTTCAAAAGACTTAATTCATTTCCAGTTAGTTTCTCTGCCTCCTGCTAGTCACTTAAGGTATGAATTTTTGCTCTTCCAGACACCTGGTGCCTGCTACCTCTGTCCCATCATCATGGGCTCTAGCCTTCCGAAACCTTAAGCCCCAGATAAACTCTTTCTTTGGGAATTTGCCTTGATCATGCTGTCTTATCACAGCAATAGAAAGTTAACTAATCCAGATAAAATAGTTCTCTCCAAATTTGAGGATTCCAACCACACATCTTAAAGCTTCAGTTTCTAAACCAAGCAATTCATTGTGATCAAAGAAAGTTTGTGTACAATTAGGTTAGATCAAATTCTACGTTAATACTTCTTTCAGGAAAATATATTGCAAAAGAGTGGGAGCTCATAGTACATTAAGGAACCCCATTTTCTCTCGTTTGTAACTTGTGTTCTATGCAGCTGAAAGGTCTGTTCTAAGCAGCAACTGCATTTTAGGAGAACCCTTTTCTCTGCTTTCATGTTCCGCTGAAAGTTCCTTAGCCACTCGAGACAACCTGTTTCTGCTTAGCAAACATCTTCTTTGCTTCCTCATCTTCTCTTGGGAAACGATTTCCCTTTTTCCTCCACATTTAATGCCAGTCTACATGAATGTACTTCCCCCGGGCCCTCAATCTCCAAAGGGGGTGTCTGCTCACATCCTGCATCCGCCCAGCCCCTCCAAAGCCGCGATTACCCTCACAGAACTCTCAGAGCAAACTGGATGCATTGGCCTTTTCCATCACGCTTGATATATGAGTATGTGTCTGGCGGGTTTATTAACAGCAGACTTTAGATGCTAAGATAAAGTTTACATAATTGGGACACTCGGCAGATTAAAATATAGAAGGGAAAATTTGTTGGAATGATAACCATCCTCCTCCCACTCACGCAGGGATGCGATATGCAGAGCTGGAAGATGACAGGATGTGAGGCATAAACGAGGAGGATACACGGATCCCTAGTTGAGGCATCTCCTCCCACCCTCACTCCTCAGCACCAACACTGCATCACCGATAACTGCTGGACCCCTCTGGGACAGACAGGAATGCCTTTGAATGAATCATGCTGTAAGACTAGCTAATAGCCAAGTACAGAAGAGGCCAAACTACTTCATCTCATGTAAAGTGTTTTGTCAAATGCTGCAATTTGCTACCAACTGAGAATATTTTCTCAGGAGACCCTGAACAATAAATAGGAAGCATGCCAAAAGTCAGCACTGCTCACAGTAGGGGCTGACAAGCTGTGGGCTCTCCCAAGGGAGAAATCTAGAAGCCTACATCCCTCATTGTGATCTTTACCGTGAACTCTCAGCACAGCTCTGCAGGGCTTATGGCTCTGGACTCTAGTATGCAACACAGGATTTTGTACTATCTGCATTTTTATATTCATCTGTATAGCTATAAATCAAATTGAAAATTCTGAGCGAACATAACTTTTCTCTCAATTCAGTTATCTTGTGAATATAGCCTTCTAGATGCTCTAAACTCTGTTCTAAGTCTTCAAATGCCCAAGAACCCTCCTTAGATTACATATCAAATTCCTTCCCCATTCAGCCAGAGAATAATATAACCATCATGAGTGTATGGATTATTTTGAGCCTCTGGTATTTGATACAAAGAACAGTACAGGATAATGGTTTTCAGATAATGAGGAGCAAACTATGGACTCAAAGCATTCCCGCTGTCTTCATTTTAAAATTTATAGAGCATTCAATTGTGAGTGTGGAAGGGAAGGGGCTGATGTGTGTTCCACTGTTTGTGGGAATTTGTTCTTTCTTTACACCATGTAGTCCTAGGGATCAAACTCAAGCATCAGGCTTGGTGACAAGACCTTTTACCCATGGAACCGTCTTGCTGGCCTAAAGCAGCTACCTTCCTGCTAAAACTGCATCTGCATGACATTGGATATCTTAGTTACCTGTCTCCTTGTGATAAAAGCAACTTAAAAAAGAATTGGTTTACTTTGGCTCATGGTCCCAGAGTCTTCTCCATCATATGGAAATCATAGCAGCAGGAACTTGAGGCAGGAATCTTGCATTTACAGCCAGGGAGCAGAGGAAGATGAATGCCTATGTTTGGCTAGCATCTTCCTTTCTACAGTCCAGGAATGGAGGCCAGGGAATGGTATCATCCTACTATAAACAAAAATTAGGGTGGGTTTTACCGGAGGTGGGGGAGCACACATTTAGTCCCAGCACTCAGGAGGAAGAGGAAGGCAGATGTGAATTCAAGGCCAGTCTGGCCTGCAGGGAGAATTCCAGGGCAGCCAGGACTGTTATATAGAGAAACCTTGTCTCATCTGAGACAGACTCAAGTCAGTATCATAACCATGAACTGCTAAAAAGAAATTTTAAAAATTATTTAAATGCTTCCAACATATATTAGCACAAAGTTACCATTCCTATTCCAAAAGGGAAGAATTAGAGCATAGTGAAGAATGGTCTGACCAAACCTTGACCAAGACCCATCAAGGAAAATGGGACTTATGACAAACTCATGTGGACTCCAGAGGCACTGGGTAGCCCCAACCCTCCAGTTCTGCAGGTTACTGCATGGACAATCTCTTAATGCATCTCCTCTCCATGTAGACAGCTTTCCTCCGCACGTGTCCTGTGATTCTGCAGTCTCCACTTGGATCTCCAATTCAGTGTGGGCGTCACCTTCACAATGTCACACAGTGGTTTCTCCAGACCTCCTTCCAAGGAATCTGCTGCTGCCACGCATTGCCTAGCCTTGAATGGTCTTCAAAATGGATGTGCAAGACTCCCTGACTCCCTCAATCTTGCACGTTCTATGTCCGTGCTTTGCAAAGGTACCATACGAACAACATTACCGAGTTCCACTGCTTGCATAACATGTGGCCTGGACCCCTTAGAGCACCTGTGTTACAATCCCAGGAAAATACTTCCCTAGGCAGTTGTTGTTGAAGAAAGTGAGTTTCCCCCAGCTGCATTCCCCTGTTCAAGCCGTTTCCTTTCAAACAAATGTGGATTTTAACGACCTGGAGCCTTGAGTGAGCTGTCTTCCCTTAAGACCCTTGAAGGTGGGATGTTTGCTACTCAGAGTTACAGCCTGTCTATCAGCACACACCTTGCAGCACTTTAACTTGCTTAGGATCTTTTCCTCCTCTACAAACTGCTGCTTTTTATATCTTTCTGTCCAGCATTTGGCTTTTATTTCCGTGTAGACCTGGATAAACTCAGTAAAAAGAACCACGCCACTGATCATGTGTTGAAATTTCTTCCACCAAACAGATTACTCTGTTATCCTCACATTCAGTTTCTCTCAAGTTCTCAGGACATGGGCAGAATGAAGAAAGAGTATTGGCCAAAGTCTCACACAAGAGCCCCTATCCTAATTCCTGATAGCGTCCCTGTGCCCTCTGAAACTCTGTGAGCTGGACTTCCGCTAGCTACATTTACCGCACCAGCCTTGTCTTCCGCCAGAATGCCCTCTTCAGCTGTCCCCAATCTTTAGAGCTTCTCTGACCCAGAGTTCAAAATTCTTCCACATTCCTGCCAACAACACATCCAAAGACCTAAGAACCACTTGACTGGGTTTATCATGGCCATGGCCCCCTTTCTTGGTACCAGTTCTCTTAGTTTCTGTGATATTCTATTTAGATAAACTTAAAGTAGAAATGGTTGATTGTGGTTCACAGTTCTAAGTTACTATTCATCACCCGGAAGTTGGGGCAGGAATCTGGGGCAGTTCTAGGATGCTCTCCATCTTGCAGAAGTTGGGGCAGGAGTCAGGGGAGCTGCTCATCTCCCATTCACAGTCAGAAATAAAAGATGGGTGTTCATGCTCAGCCAGCTTCTTCCTTTTTATTCCGTTCAGGACCCAAGCCCAAAGGATTGCGCCACTGTTCTTTAGAGTGGATCTTCCTACTTCAGCTAATGTGATAAAGGTAACCTCACATAGGCATGCCCCAAAGCTAGCCTACTGAAAATAAGCCATCACAAATGTATCCGGAGACTTCTCTTTTAAGTGATTTAGAGCCTGTCAAATTGACAATTAATCCTATCACATTGGGACAGTGAATAAAATTCTGTGTTTTACTTTCTTGTCTATAAAAAGAGACTATTGGTATTTATTGAGTAGATAATAGAATATTTATAGCAATGATGTTTCCCATTTTACAGATTTTCACAACATTTATGGACTAGGTAATAATTAACATGAATAACTAGCAGGGCTGAAATTGTCATCTATAAAGTGCTTGTAGGAAGGATAGCATTTATTCTAAAGAACAGATGATATGAACTAAATGAGTTGATATATGTAAAGCACTTACTAAAGAGTATTTGATAAATGTTAGTTATTATGACAATCATCTACAGAATCTTTCCAATATTCTGAGTTGAAAGAAAGCAAAATTGGGTAGCAAGTATTAGATTTTTCACTAGGAATCTAGGTTCTTAGCATAAAGAGTATCTCTTAGCTTATAAAGAACAACTCCAAATACGGTCATGGAAGTAAGTCATTTTCCTCCTCCACCCATTTGTGCTCTTTCCCTTGTAAAGCAATGTGCAGGTAGAAGCGGAGAATCGTGTCACCAGGGATGAGGAACTGGAAGAAAAGTTTGTATTTCAGGCCACTCATCCCTGACTTTTTTCAGATCTCACAATGCTGTGAGCAAATCCTTCCTGGATGAGAGAAGACACGCACGTGTAAGCTGGAGACACCAAATGATGAAGTATACAGCTTCCTGTTTGCCTCGGTGAATGCCTCAGAAAGCATGATACTGAGAATTTAAAAATTCTCCACTCATTGTCACCACCCACTCACCCACCAAGCTCACTCAGAATGGCTGGGATGAGTCAGGAAACAGGTTGGGTAGCGCAGACCTGGGGGAGGATTGTAGGCTATGCCTGGCTTACTCAGTAGCTTACAGAGATCAGTAACCTTGGCATTTTGATGGTTTGGGGACAAAGAAATGTGACTTCTTAAAGTCACAAATCTGAATCCATAAGGCATTCAGAAGAGATAAATCCCCTCTAAGGAAATGAATGCCTACTTTCTGACAAAAATATCTCTGGGTGAGTCATGTCTTCTGATGCTTGGCTTCGAGGTAGGACTGTTTAATTATCTCAAGTCATTTCATTTTCCCTTCTATGATCTAGATACTGGGTCATCTTGAAGCCTTCTTATACCAGCTTCATGTTGGCTCCAGCTGGTCTCCTCTGGGTTTTCTTTGTTTCTCACTGTGGTGGTTGGAATGAGAATGCATCGTGCCCCCTTAGGTTCAGATCTTTTAACACTTGGTCCCCTACCTGGCAGCACCATTTGGATAGGTTTAGGAGGACTGGTCTTCCTGGAGAAAGTACATCACTGCATTTGAGGTTTTAAAAAGCATGACCCATTCCTAATTCACTCTCTGTTTCAGACTTGGGGTTTCAGATGTGGACTCTCTCGCCTCTCGGCTTCCAGCTCAACCACCATCTGTACCGGCTGCCACACTTCCCTATCATGATGATGATGGTGTCTTATCCCTCTGGAACTGGAAGTCCAAATAAAATCTTCCTTCTAGAAGTTGCCTTGGTCATCGTGTTTTATCCCAGCGATATAAAAATAACTAATATATTCACCATAGCATCATGTCCCCTTTGTTCCTTTTCTCGCTGACCCTACACAGTCTCTAGAGCAGTGTTTCTCAACCTTTGGGTCTTGACTCCTTTGGGGGGTCAAAATGAGGTACTCATAGTGGTTGCGTAAGACTATCTGAAAAATTACACTTATGAAGTAGCAACGAAAATGATTTTATTGTTGGGGGTTCACTACTGCATGAGGAAGAGTATTGAAGGGTTGCAGAGCAGCATAGGAAGGTTGAGAGCCACTGCGCGGGAATTTTATATCTAGTCTTTTTCTTAATCATTTTTAGTAACAGATCTGTGTTTTCTTACTATAAGATTAATATTCACATCTGAAATGTTACACACAACCTCAAAGGTACAAGCCTACTAATGTCCCTCCACAGCATTGCCGAAGATGCATGTGGGAGACCAAGTAGACATCTCTAGCACATAGAAACCCATAAGGCCCAGAAAGCCAGGCCTCAGGGCTATTAAATCTTCTTGTTGAAAGCAGGTATTATTCTCTTGCTGGGCAAAGGTAGTCTCCCAGGAGAGCAACACTCCCCTCAGACAAGAGCGTGGTAAAGTAAGGAAACAAAAGCCGGTCCACCTAGTCCTAAGAATAGGCAAAAACCCAGGTAGGTCACTGTTTAACAAAACCGCACATCTGCCTCCCACAAATATGATCAACTTGCTAATCTCCTCCTTACCAGCTACATGGATGTGCTTGTTCTCCTCCTTCTGTGGAAAGGATTTAGATACTCAACCATAGAATCTACCCATTTTCTTTCAGTTATTTTTACTATATTACGGTATAATTTTCCTACCGTAAAATCACCCATTTAAATTGTTCCATTTAAATTCAGCATATTCAAAATTGTACAGTCACTGTAACAATTTTATAATATTTTCTCAAATAAGAAAATATGCCGCCTGCTTATAAATCGCACATGAAGTGTCCTCCCCAGGTACGTATGCTGAATGTTTAGTCTCCATTGTAGACGTCACTGGGAAGTGACTGGCTGATGACAGCAGCAAACCCTAATGCGTTCACAGCTGCATGGACTCTTGGGAGTCAGAGGACTAATTGGAGCGAGTAGGACACCGGAACCATGACTTAGGAGCACACACCGTATTCCTTTCTCTTCTCCACACCCATACCTCGGTCCTTCCTAGCAACTGTGAGGAAAGTTGTTCTGTTTTACTGCGTGCTGCTTGACTTGATGTTCTGGCTTACCACTGCCCAGAAACAGTGAAGTCAAATGACCTAGGAACAAAATCTCTGGAACCAGACGCTAAAATAAGTCTCCCACCCCCTTTCAGCAGTTTTCTTGAGTTCTTTGTCAAACCAGTGCACAGTGACTAACAACACCTCCTACACGTTCTCTCTGCCCTGCTGGTAACAACCTCTTATCTAATTCTGTTCATGGGATGATGGTTTTGCAGGTATTAAAGTTGCAAGATCAAAGGGGACATGAAGGGCAGCTCAAACTAGGAAATATATGTCAGGGTTGGAATTCCCAAAATGAGGCCCTGAGAGATGTCTATGGGCAACTCAGAATATGAAATCTAAGTTTCAGTAGACACCCCCAAGTTACTGGAATTTTCCACTCCATGAAACATCCACCAAGGAGGGCTTCAAGCATAGAATGGAGGCAACCTGAGAGAAAGGCTTTGTGTGCTGCAGGTGGCCGACCTGGAAGAATGGGGATGGCCAAGACCTTTGAGTCTTAGTTGATTACAATATGAGCTTCAGATGCTTTTCCCTGCTTCGTGCTCATCTTGCTTTGAACTAGTCATTCCTTGCTATGCCACAAGTCCTCCATTTTGGAATAGCAATGTTTTATCTGTACCTTTAAATGTTAGAGATGTGTAACTTGGTTTAGATTTTATGAAGTTCACATTTAAGAGACTTTAGATTTTCAATGTGCATTAACTACTCTTTCCATTGCTTTGTTAAAACACCATGACAAAATCAACTTCTGAAAGAGTTTAATTTTAGCTTATGGCTTAAGCGGATAAGAGTCCTTCATGGTAGGGAACAGACATGGCAGCAAGCAGCATGCATGGTAGCGGGAACGGGACACTGAGAGATCATATTAACCTCAAGCATAGAGCAGAGAAAGAAAACTGAAAGAATGGCAAGGCTGTGAACTCTCAAAGTCCATTCTTGGTGATATGCCTCCTTCAGCAAGGCACCAGCACCTCCCAAAACAGTGCCCCCAACTGGGGGTGCCGAGTGCTCAAATATCTGAGTCTTTAGGGGACATTTTTATTAAAACCACTACACAAAGTCTTGAAATGGTTAAAATCTATGAGGACCTTTAAAGTTGACTGGCTAGATTTTATGTTATAATACAGCCAATAATCTAGAGGGCAAGTCATATGTTTGGGTGTTGAATTGACACCCAGATTTGTGATGGGTAGTATCTGACAGAATCTAGAATCACCTAGAAGACTCTCGGGCATGCATAAAGGAGATTACCTTGACTGTGAAAACTGGGGCATGAAACCCTGCTCACCCTGAGTGGCAGTGTCTCCTGGCTGGGGTCCTGGACCACAGACATAGATGAAGGCACTGAGTAACAGCAGGCATTCACTCACCCTGAGTGGTAGTGTGTCCTGGCTGGGGTCCTGGACTATAGACATGGGTGAAGGCGTTGAGTAGCAGCAGCATCCACTGCCTCTCTGCTTCCTGGTTGTGGACACTGTGATCAACTGCTTCAGACTTTCGATACTTTGACTTTCCCGCTACACCTTGAACTGTGAGACACAATCAACCCTTTGTCCCAAAAGTTGTTTCTGTCAAAGGATTTTATCACAATAGCATAAGAGAAAATGAACAAATTAAGCATTCTTTTCTTTCCCTTTTATTTTTTCAAGATGGACAAAGTCTTTAGTAAGTGATCCCACACACAATGGCTGGTCGAGGCTCAATTATATAACACTTTTACACCAATCAAGTCACAATGTTTCTTAAGTAGGAGCAGACCTAAAACATAAATAGTGCAAATAGTTCTCTTATGTGAATTCTCGGATATCAAAGATCTGTTGTGTTAGTGGTTCCTGTGGTGGGAAGAATACCATATTACCATCTTTTAGACAAGTTCTTATAGAACATTCAAAATCTATATTCCTAACTTCGTGGATCAAGCCCATACTCTGTTGAGTAGAGAGTGGACACTCATTGAAAAACAGCGGCTACTGATGGGCCTTCTTACTGACAGAGTCATGGGTATTATGCAGCCACAACTGCTCAACATGAACCCAGGTTGTTGAAACTTCAGGCCATAAAGTCAGGTGGGAATAAGTAGAATACAATGGTCATGCTGGTCATACCCTCATGTCATATACATCTCTTGTCCTGCAATCTGTTCCTAAGCACTCATAACTAATAAACAGAAAAGGAATCAAGTCTGACTCACAAATGGATTAGTAAGTATAAAGGTAAAAGTTGGAAATAGACTGAAGTCCATCCTAGTCCAGGGTGGTCCTGAGAGTTAATGGTGGGCCTAAATTCTTCCAATGGGCAGACTGTGGGTAGTAACCTTATCATTCCTATTAGTATCCTGAAGCAGTGTTTACTGACTTGTCCTCTAGTGAGTGACTTTGTTGCTGATGATGTCCCTTCTATTAGTCAGGGTTCTCTAGAGGCACAGAACTTATGGAATGATTACATGAATTTATTGGAATGGCTTATAGGCTGCAGCCCAACTAATTCATCAATGGCTAGTTGTAAAAAGGAAGCTCAAAAATACAGTAGTTGCTCAGTCCCATGAAGCTAGGTGTCTCAGTTGGTCTTTTGTATATGCTGGAATCCTAAAGAAAAGTAAGCTGCAATGCAAGGGAAGGAATGGGTGTGCTGGAAGGCAAGGGCAAACCTTCCTTCTTCTGTTGCACTTATATAGGCTTCCAGTAAATGTGCGTTATCTCACCTCAAGATCAGTATCAATAGTCTGTGTCTTCCTGCCTCAAGATTCAGATCACATGTGCCCTGCTATTTCAGGATTGTAGTTCATTTCAAAAATAGTCAAGGTGACAACCCAAAATAGCCATTTCAACTCTGAGATGAAGTGAAAGAGAAAGTTTAGAACATGGGCAAGAAGTAAGTCTATAGAAAAGGAATATGGGTAAGCCTATAGTGGCCACAAAGCATGGAGATTTTTATGTCATATTTAATAATACCCAAAGAAAGCAGTCAGCCCTGGACAGCCAGTGAACAGCTAAGTAACTAGAATGACCTTAAGGAGTAACACCAGCTTCCTATCACTGTTGCCTCCCATCTACTTCAGTGTGTTGTAGGAGGCCGCTTGTTTGTTCCTGGCTGTTCAGACCCGAAATAATCACATAGAAACTGTATTTATTAAATCACTGCTTGGCCAATCACTATAGCATATTCCTAGCAACCTCTTAATTTTAAACTAACCCATTTCTATTATTTTATATTTTACCATGAGGGTTGTGGCCTAACAGTAAGGTTCCAGCTGGCAGTTCATGTCTTTCCCCTCTGGCAGCTGCATGGCATCTTCTGACTCCACCTTCTTTTTTCCCAGCATTAGGTTTATTTTTTCCCACCTACCCCTACTCTACTAAGCCTCTGACTGAAACAGCTTCTTTATTCATTAACCAGCAAAAGCAACACATATACAGATTGACTTCTCACACCATCACTGGGCTCATGGACAGTGTTTTCAGAGCTACAGAGAAGAAAGCTGCCTGTGGCTGCCATAGCTGGCTTCCTGAGCACAAGGTTGAGGATGAGTTACTGCTGCTGCCTGTGTCCAATATAAAGTAAATAAAAACCAATGTTGAACTATTTGGTGGGATGTTGATTACTCTAGACCACTTGTGTTGGTAGAGACTCACCTGAACTTGAAGCAAAGTTATTCTAAGTACAGGTGTGCCTACCTTGACCAAAGGGGTCTTAGCTAGCACTATTACAAGATTCCACATGCCATT